ACAGTGAGGACAGTTAGGGGACAGTGAGTACAGGGAGGACAGTGAGTACAGTGAGTACAGGGAGGACAGTGAGTACAGTGAGGACAGTGAGTACAGTGAGGACAGTGAGGACAGGGAGTACAGTGAGGACAGTGAGTACAGTGAGGACAGTGAGGACAGTGAGTACAGTGAGGACAGTGAGTACAGTGAGGACAGTGAGGACAGTGAGGACAGTGAGTACAGTGAGTACAGTGAGGACAGTGAGTACAGTGAGGACAGTGAGTACAGGGAGTACAGTGAGGACAGTGAGGACAGGGAGTACAGTGAGGACAGTGAGGACAGTGAGTACAAGCCAGTTAACATTTAGTCAGTGGACGAGCGAACAGAGGTGTGTGTGTGTGTGTGTGCGTGTGTGTCTGTGTGTCTGTGTGTGTGTGCTATGTGAAATTATAGGAAAGGAAATAAGAAAGGAAATAAATAAAAGCAAAAACCATAAGTCATAAAATCAATAAACATGTGCACTTAATCTTATGTACTACTAATAACACTATAACAGTAACAACAACAATAATAAAGTCAGGGTTAGTGCCGCCCCGTCCACTGGCAGCGAAGCATGACCGAGGCACCATCAGGGAGCTCCAGAACAGGTCAGCAGGATCAATTTGAAGTTATTGACAAGACCCTTGAGGGGGGGGGGGACCTGTTTTTTGGGGGGGATTTACAGTCAGACTCATTAGTCTTTGGTGAACCAGCCTTCCATCCCCCATGACCGCTCCAGAGGGAACCGATAAAGTGGCCCGAATTGAGCTTGAGCCACCAGGGACAGGACGGAGCACTGTCCCAGCCAAACAATGTTATGGTTGCCTGAGAATGACAATAATTAGTGTGGGAAAGGGTGATTACAAAAAAAACATCAATATAAAAAAAGAGTACATAAACAGAAGATATATTCATGACAAAATAGATAAAAAAGATCAATTGATAGTACATTGGTTGATGGGCGGATGGGAGGTTGTCTGGGGAGGATGTGAAAGTATTTACATGTGTTTTATAATAATAGTAATTATTACAATAATAATAATAGCTGTAATAATAGAAACAGCATCATCACCCCAATATTAATATCACTATTTACAGTACTAAAAAGACAAAAAAAATAAACAGAAAAAAATATGTCAGTGTTTTTTGGGGGGCTAGTTTATCAGTATTTTCTTCATCTATTGGAGCCTCCAGGGGCCTTACCACCTTTCATTAAGTTAATTGAGTTTGCATTTTCACTAGGTTTTAGAGGTTGGTCCATCTCACTCACCTGACTAGCAGTTATGGATGGAAGATCATTATTTGTTTAATTTGCTGGAATGCTTATTGGCTCTTAATTCGGTGAGACAAAAAACTCCCCGGCTCCTCAACATGCTTGTAAAGAAATGCGCGCCATAATGAAAGCAACTTTTCCGTCTCTTGTGAGTAAATTGTAACTCATCTGGAGATTTTGCCTTTCTGTATCTAATTCAAGGGATGGAGACATATTATATTATATTATAATTATAATATATATATATATATATAATTTCCACTTTCAGTGTTTGCTTTTAAAGAAAATGTGCCAAAGATTCAGAAAACGTCTTTATTCTCCAGCTATAAGTGGAGAAACTACAGGAAATGAAAGTACAGAGAGAAAAGTCAACAGAGGTGGGACAGATGTTTATATTTCAGCAGTATCACAAACCACAGCAATCATACAAAACATTACTCTAATCATTTGCATTATGGATATTATAATACAATATGATAAGATGTGGTTCCTCAGTCCGTGATGCTTCCTGCTGAGTCACTACAGGAGAGACGATCCCACTGGCTGTGTGAACACATGTCCAGGTGAGAGGAATGGGTGATGTGGATACATACACACATTCACATGTAGGAACCATTTAAAGTCTCCAACATGAAAGCACTCAAGAAATACAATTAACTTAACATAAGAGATATAATGTGATAAATTTTCATGGTTTCTATCTGATAACGTGTTTAAGGATGGAACATAGTTCTCATAAATACAGATATTTGCACTGACAGTGTCAGTTATGGGATAGTATTCATTAAACGTTTTCGCAATTATTTACACCCTAATACTGGTACTTGAGCCACATTGACCACAACATGTAACTCATCTACCAAACCACTGAACCAAGAACGTTTACTGCTTCAAGTGAAGATTGTAGCTCTAAAACATGGACGGACTTTTGGTGTTAGGATCCCTGTCTGCTAGTCTCCTAGTGTGTGCTCCTCTGTTCTTCCCCTGTCTGTTTTGATATTTGAAGGCCATGTGCTTATGTTTTGATATTTGAAGGCCATGTGCTTATGTTTTGATTTTGTGTCAGCCTACAGTTTCCACCCCCGAGCTCCGCCCACTACCACGCCCCCCTCCTTAGGCTCAGCTGTGGCTCATTCCAGTGATCGTCTCCGGCTGACTTAAATACCCCAGCTGTCCGTCCGGTTACCAGTCTGGTTCAAGGCCACGTGAGTCTGAACAGTTTTCAGTGAAGATGAATCGAACCTTTCTGGCTGTCTTCAGCACTCCTGCCGCGTAGAGTCGATCGCCGGGAGTTCACCTGTGCGAAGAGGCCGACCCGCGTAGTACCACGGAGTACACCGGTACGTCCTTTTGTTTCCTTCTCGGACCGTTTCCAGTTATGAGTTCGGTGGAGTTTCCCTCCCGACTCCGGGAGAGCGAAGGAGAGGCTTTGGCCCACTGGACACGGTGCCGTAGTCTTAGCGTGTATTTTCTGTTTAAACCTGCATATATAAAATAAAGTCCTTGGCTGGATTAAACCTGCTGTGTGAGCGTGCGTTTGGGTCCACCTACTAACTACACCATCCCATAACAGTTGGCGGTTCAAGCGCCTATTGAGTTTGACCGTTTGGTTATAAATATTATTGGTTGTCTGCTGCAGAGGCTCAAATTCCAAATGTACTGGAATGAGTTAGAAACTTGGCTTGGCCCAATAACTCCAATCGGCCACATGGTGGCGTTTTAGTTAGTGCTCTAAAACTTGATTTTGAAAAGGCCTAGCTCGGAAGTCTGATTGGACTGAAGTTTGGCACACACATCCAGCTCAATGTGCGCTACATAAAAACCCAGGAACCACTAAAGTTTTTTTTTTTGTTTTTTTTGTTTTTTTTTGTCCTTTATTTGCAGCATATTCCCCTAAACCGTAGTTACAACCAATCAAAACACAAATCAGACTTTAAATCAGAAATAGTTTGTGAACCATTACTCTCAGGATGTTTCCATGTGCAAGGGCCTCGCACACATTTGGTCGTAAATGAATGAGTTTGTCCAAACATCACCGAACTTGATGGCTGTTGAACGGTCTGTGTTGGCTTCAACCCAAGAAGCGCTGCTATATTTCTATTAGTTCTGTGTAGAACATTTCACACATCCAAACGTGTTTGAAGGGATGTAACATTTTGTTTATACAACAGTATATTTGTATTTGAGTATAAAAGCATTATACAAAAATATTTAAGACTACTGTACATACGTACACAGCGGAACACTGAACATGAAGGTGTCCCATGATTATAGTGATGTGCATTGTTCAATTGCTTCTTAGAAATGTCTATTCATTTGATAGTCTTCTGAACACAAAATACCATATTGTAATTATAGTGTTGATTTGATTAGTTTCATTTTGCAGGAAATTTGTGGGGTTTTAAGAATTTGAGAAACGCTTTCAGAAAAAAAAAAGCAGATTTTATATGAACTTCATGTCAGCCTATAGATGCCCTACCACCAACAGCTGGTCTGATGTGGAGCAGTAGACCGTGGTGCATTGTGGGATACACTGAACTCTGAGGTGGCATGTGTGTTGGTTAATCTGTCTGATCACGTTCAATGTGGAGTTTAATGACGTCTTGTAAAATGTGCTGCAGTATTGTTTTCATCTAGCGCTGGGCAGGAAACTGTTGAACTGTTTCTTTACCAAGATGACTCTGTGACCCTGCTCCTGGGAACAACAACAACTTATACAAAACATTAAATGACAACATTCTTTCTAAAAGTTTTATATAAAAACATCACGTGACTGTTCGCTATAGTGTTACATGGAGTGTGAGAGTTGTGTGATGACGTGTCAGCAGGTCAATACGTAATACAAAAAGTCCAACGATACCCTGACACAAACCTCACACAATATTACAGTTTAGTAAAGTCCAGTCTCGTGTTCCAACAGCAGATGCAATTCAACCAGTCAGGACTCATCAGTGGAGACAGATCCAAGGTCAGCTGCAGGTGGTCAGACGTCTGTTGATCTGCAACGTTTCATTTCACTGAAATAAGAACAAAAATACACACAGAGCAATGAGAGATTGTGGAGCCACACTGATGTTATGAAAAGGTCAAACTGTCAGGTGGGTTCGGATGATCTACGGTTAGTTAAAGTCTCTGTTTTCCAAACATGTCAGGAACACCAATGTCCTTTAGTTTACAGTTGAAGTAATGGCATTAACAAAATATATCTTAAGACAAGATCTAAATAGTTAAATAGATGTTAAATAGTATGTCGTTGTCTTGCTAACATGCTCACATTCATTATGCTATAATGCTGTTGTTGCTAACATTAGCCTATTAGCACTAAACACAAAGATTGGCAAAAGTAGAGAGAAGTATTGGACACATGAAAATGTTGACCTGATAGTGCGAGATAAAAAGTCAGAGGATCACAATGAATCCTGAGGGGAACATGCATGTCTGAACCACATTTCATCACAATCAAATCAATAGCTGTTGAGATATTTCAGTGTGGACCAAAGTGGAAGACAGACAGACAAAAAGACATTACCATCCAAAGAGCTGCTTACATGACTGACAATCACAGCATTCATTTATGTTTGATCAAAAAGACTCCGGTCCGAACTATAGCATTAACCTCCACCACATCCCTGCTCTCTGTCCTGTCGGCTGTCGATGACGTCATACAGCTTTAGGAGATGTGACCGTGTTCCCACAGCGTGGTTGTGTATTTTCAGAGCTTTAGCTTCATGTCTGGACCTTGTCCTGGGGTACTGCCGACTTACCGTAGCTCGTCCTTCAGCCGATCCAGTTTGTCGAGCAGCCGTTCGTTCTTCACCAGAATGGGATTGTTGGGGACGAACCAGGCCGCTATAAACTTGCACACCACCACAACATGCTGCAGAAAAACACACAGACACTATTACAATGCCATCTTCAGTTCAAGTGGACAACACTGCCGTAGCAAAATCTGGAGTACAAACCTCAAACAAGATGACGAAGGCAAAGCGCACAGCCAGAACCAACCAGAACTGAGAAGTCAGAGTGTAGTCTTCATCACTCCTGTAGTCTCTGTAGCTGTAACAGACAAATTGTCCTGTTAACCAGATATGTGACCCATTCTTCTGTTATGTTTGGACAGAGCACAGTAACACTAAGGTCTTCTCACCTGCACTGTGTGACGTTGAAGCCGCCGTCTGTCATCTGTTCTGGGAGAAAGTCGTTTCTAACTGCCATGTGTGACACAACAGCCGTGGACAAAGTGTCATTGATGTAGCCCTGCAAGCAGCTGCAACAAGAGCACAAACCACTCATGATGAGACACAACACAGTGAGCTGATGTGTGATTGAGCTGTAATATGACTGACTGTGTGTGAGTGCTTCCATTAGCACAGGGGCCATAGCGGTAACGGTAGACGAGGCGGGGAATGAAGTCTGATGAGACCCCGATGACCAGACCGTTAGCAATCACTGCTAACACACCGATGGCCTCCAACACCTTCGTCCACACGCCTGTACACAAGAGACAGTACTGTTACACAGGTACACAAGTACACAAGAGACAGTACTGTTACACAGGTACACAAGAGACAATACTGTTACACAAGTACACAAGAGACCGTACTGTTACACACGTACACAAGTAC